ATCAAGAGCACAGATGGAGCCCGACGTCATCAGCTACAACACTAGGATCAGGCCCTGCAACCATGACCTGTGATCTATGGCGCCTGTTCCTCCGCCCCCACGCGTGCCCCTTCTTTCTACGCCTGTCACCTTCCTATCCCCGCCCCTTCCTGCCATCGAGAATGGAACCTGTCGTACACCTGCGAGAAGGTACGAGCCAACATCATCCTGGGTTCACTTCGTGCGAAACATGCGAAATGTTCCGAGCCAACATGCTTCGCTACAACGTTGGAGCCCGCCTGTGCGAGGAAAGCAATAAGCTACGAACCAACATCACGAGCCACGGTGTTGGGATCAGCTAGGACCCGCTCGTGCGAGAAATGCAAGAAGTTGCTAGCCGATAACAGCTCCAACGCTGCGACCATGTCATGCGGAAGGCACGGAGCGAGCGAGCAGACAGTTCTCAACCACAACATCGGGGTCCGCTCGTTCGAAAAGTGCAGGGAGGCGTGTGGTGGTTGAGTTTTCGGCCACGTGCGAGCAGACGCTCTCGGCCACCTCGCGTGAGAGAAGAGAGGCGCGTGCGGGAGGCAAGGCTGCGGGAGGGGGCGGTCGGGCAGAGGGAGGGGGGGAGGGATCGGGGGCGGCCAAGAGAGGGGGGTGATGACTAGGAAGGGCTCCTCCTCCTCCTCCTCCTCCTCCTCCTCCTCCTCCTCCTCCTCCTCCTCCTCCTCCTCCTCCTCCTCCTCCTCCTCTCCTCCTCCTCCTCCTCCTCCTCCTCCCCCCCCCCTCCCATCCCCCCATCCCCCTCCCACTCTTCGCCTCCTCCCCCTCCTCCTCCTCCTCCTCCTCCTCCTCCTCCTCCTCCGCCTCCTCCTCCGTTATATCTACCCAGGTTTCATTACGTCCCATCCCCACTCCCCACCCCCCCTGGGCCGCGAACGTGCCGCCGGCCATTAGTTGTGACCCCCCCTCTTCGACGCCCACCTCTTGGACGCTCCCAAGGGGAGACGGTGGACGCCGAGCAGGGGGAAGAGGAGCGCGAGGAGCAGGATTATGATCAGCAGGCGGAGGCCCCGTCGCGAAGTGTCGGTGCATCTCCTCTTCCGCGCTGCCTGCTGCCCTACTTCGCTGCCACTCTGTACGAGGTCGGATCTTCTCTCGCCCCAGGACGCCACAGCCCCGCTGCTCGAGTTCTTTCCCAGCGGCAAAAAGAGTAGGATGCGGAGGCGGAGGAGGGCAGTGGAGGGCAGGGGGAGTGTTGGGGGCAGTGGAAGGCAGTGGAGGGCAGTGGAGGGCAGGAGGCGGAGACGGAGGAGGGCAGTGGAGGGCAGTGGAGGAGGGCAGTGGAGGGCAGGGGGAGGAGCAGGGGAGTCAGTGGTGGAGGAGCAGTGGAGGAGCAGTGGAGGCAGGGAGGCGGCGGCGGAGTGGGGCAGTGAAGGGCAGTGGAGTGCCCGGGGAGGTGCCCGTGCCCGAGCCGGCCGTGCCCTGCCCTCGCCTTCCGGGGGGGCAGAGCCGCTCCATTTCCGACTGCGGCGTCGAGCTCCAGGCGCGGAGCGCACTCTCCTCCTCCTCCTCCTCCTCCTCCTCCTCCTCCTCCTCCTCCTCCTCCTCCTCCTCCTCCTCCTCCTCCTCCTCCTCCTCCTCCTCCTCCTCCTCCTCCTCCTCCTCCTCCTCTCCCCCCTCCTCCTCCTCCTCCTCCTCCTCTTCCTCCTCCTCCTCCTCCTCCTCCTCCTCCGACCGTAGCCATTTTGGCTCAAGTCCTCGGCCTCTGGGGGCTGAGGACACCATAGCATTTCACTCTTGGTCAGGTCCAGGAGCTTGGGGCTCGAACAATTCTGCCTGTTCGCATCCACCCCACAGAGTTTTTCGGGTCACTTCCCACCAGCCAGCCATGCCTGCCACCTCTGCGAAAGAGCACCTCTCCATCGTGATCTGCGGGCATGTTGACACTGGCAAGAGCACCACCACCGACCGCCTCCACTACGACCTGGGCTGCCTTCCGGAACTCGAACTGGAGCAGTTGAAGAAGGAGGCCGAACGCCTGGCAAAAGGCTCCATCGCTTTCGCGTTCTATATGGACCGTCAGAAGAAGGAGCAGGAGTGCGGTGTGACCAGCGCCTGCACCACCCAAGACTTCTACACCGAGAAGCGGCACTACACCGTCGTCATCGATGCCCTAGGCCATCGCGATCCCAACAAGGCCGACTACCTTCTGAAGAAGTCAGACAGCATGGGCTGGTGGAAAGGCTGCGATGTCAAGTACGGCAAGGATCGCGACACCGACAGATACAAGCAGTCCCGCTATGCCGAAGTCGCGAAAGAGTCGAAGATCATGCTGGTCAAGCACGGGTGGAACAAGGACTTCGTCAAGAAGGGCACGCCTGTAATGCCAAGCTACGGCTGGATGGGCGATAACCTGCTAAAGAAGTCTGACAACATGGGCTGGAGGAAGGACTACGTTGACAAGTACGAGAAGGCCCCATCCACGTGGACACCGTCTTCGATGTCCTGGTCGTGATGGGCCGCGTTTTGCCTTGCTCATGGCTTGCCGATAGCGGCAAGTCCCGCGCTGATTTGCAATTCAGGGCTCGCTCAAGCCCTTCTCGCTGCCAAGATGTGTTGTTCAGATATGTGGCAGGTCGAGAGCCTTACAAAGTGTGAGGTGCTTCCCTGCAGGAGGTACATTGGTCAGAGATAAAAAAGGCCCCCATGGAGGGTCGGTGGTTCCCTGAGAGGACTAATAGCATTGCTGCTGGTCTCAGTGGAGAGGCCCGCGGGATTAGTCTTCCCCGCTCTCCTTCAATTCAGTTCTAATTGAATGTGCAGTGTATGTGATTTGTCATTCGAGTAGTGTTCCCTTGAATGCGAAGTGAATGTGTTGACAAGGCAGGTCGAGAGCCTCACTCAAGTGAGGTGCTTCCCTGCGGCATCAAGCATGGCAGCTCTCGCAAATTCAGACAGTGGCACGTCGACTGAGCACCGTTGTGTCCTTATGGCCAACCCCACTGTGGGTGCCGGCCACGGCCCAGACGTCCTTCGACGAACTGTGTCCCCCACGACGTGCTGATCCTCCTCCTCCTCCTCCTCCTGGGCTCTCGTGGAGCCATCTGGAGGCCTCGGGAGACCCTCGGAAGCAAAAAAGCGAGACGGCGACATTCATGGATTTTCATGCGGTTTTTTGTTGAAAGAGGTTGGCCTCTTGGCGGCCTCCTGGGGAGGCCGGCTGCTGTGCTGAGGGGGGCGGGCTTGAGCGGAGAGCGGGCCGTGTCGCCGAGCCCTGCTCGTATCCCAGAGGAGGGCGAGGCGGAGGAGTATTCAGGAGGAGGAGAGTTGATCTAGAAACCCGATTTTCTCCACGCCGGCGTCGCCGATGTGTCGCCGACGTCGCCGATGCGGCGCGATCCCTCGACCCCATCGACTCGGACCCCATCTAGGAGGACTCTAGTTGAGCAAGGAGGGGGAGGATGCATCCCGTTCGTGCGCCTTGTTGTCGTGGGCTGAACTGTGAGAGCGCGGCCCGTCCTTGGGCCGCCCTCCCTGATAGTCACAGCTCGTACGAAGCGGAGGAGGGGGACCAGGAGGAGGAGGACGAGGAGGAGGGCGGAAGGAGGAGTAGGAGGAGGAGGAGGAGGAGGAGGAGGAGGAGGAGGAGGAGGAGGAGGAGGAGGAGGAGGAGGAGGAGGAGGAGGAGGGGGAGGGGGAGGAGGAGGAGGAGGAGGAGGAGAAGGAGGAGGAAGAGGAGAAGGAGGAAGAGTAGGAGGAGGGGCAGGTGGAAGTAGGAGGAGGAGGGGCAGGTGGAAGAGGGGGTAGGATGAGTAGGCCGAAGACGGCAAGCCTGTGTCGTATCGGCGAGGCCGAGACCGAGGCGCGGGCGTTCAAGGTTAATCGCCGCCAGTGGCCCAGAGCCAGCCTGCATCGAACGATCTGTGCTGTCACGAAACCGTGATCGCTCAAGGTTGAACGATTCATGCGGGGCCAGAAACCAACTCTAGGGTCAAGTCGGGCATGTCCCTCTACAGAAGGAGTATTCAACAATAGGAAAAATAGTCTGGTGACGATCTTTCGTGCTCTTTTGACTGCTGCTGATTTGTTGTCACGATGTTTCGCTCTCTTCCAGAACCCGCCTGTACAGGAGGACGCGCCCGACCTGGCTCTGGGGTCGGCACGACGCGCTCCTGCCGTGAAGGGAGGAGGAGAGGAGGAAAGGGGTGGTCTGGGGGGATGGCTGGCGGTCTCGAGGGTCGTGTTTCCGCTCTGGGCTCCTCGGCGGTCTTGGAGGTTCCGGGGCATGCACTGGGGTTTGGAGGACCAAGCCTCGGGGGCACACAGCACCAGCATGAAACCGGCATGGAAATTGCATGGCAAATCTTGCTGGAAAAATTCAAGCCGGCATTTCGCGCCTTGCGCTCTGGGTGCCTGTGCGCGACTAGACTCCGCCATGCTTTTCTCTGCGGGCTTCAAAGCAAATCATGCTGGTAGGCTTGAAGCCGACCTTCTTCTAAAAGAGCAACATATACTTAAGTCGGGCCTGTCCGTCTACAGGGGGGATATTCAGAACTAGCCAAACAATAGTCAGGGCACGACATTTTGACTGTTTTTGGCCATTGTTGGGTATTCTTTGCATGTTTTCTGAACATTCGCCCAAAATCCGCCTGTAGGGGGACATTCCCGACGTGGACGTATGGGGCCGATGCCAACTCCCGTTCTCATGTCCGAGCCAAGAGCGTCTGCATGAGGGGCAAAGAATCGCAGGATAAGAAGGATGACGAACAACGAGGAAGATGAGGAAGGAGGATACGGAAGTGGAGCGAGGCGACGTGGAGGACGACAATTAGGATTGATAATGATGAGGATGATGATGATGGTGATGCTGATGATGATGATGCTGCTGATGATGATGAGGAGGAGGAGGAGGATGAAGAACGAGAAGGAAGAGGAGGAGGAGGAGGAGGAGGAGGATGGTGATGGTGATGAGGACGAGCAGGAAGAGGAGGAGGAGGAGGAGGAGGAGGAGGACGAGGGGAGGAGGAGAGAGGAGGAGGAAGAGGAGGAGGAGGTGCAGGATAGTGATGAGATCAGGAGGAGGAGGGGAGGAGGAGGAGGAGGAGGAGAGGAGAAGAGGAGGAGGGAGGAGGAGAGGAGAGGAGGGAGGAGGAGGGCGGAGGAGGAGGAGGAGGAGGAGGAGGAGGAGGAGGAGGACGAGGAGGAGGAGGAGGAGGACGAGGAGGGGGCGGGGAGGGGGATGGAAAGGAGAGAGGAGGCAGCGGGGAGGCGAGAGTAAGGGGGAGGGCAGGAGTGGAGGAACAAATTCGTGAAGAGGGAAGACTGCGGAAGGAGGAATGTGAAGGAAGTGTAGGGAAGGCGAGAGTTATTGGGAGGGAGAAGAGGGTGCGAGTGGGCGGAGGAGGAGGAAGTGCATGAGGAAACTGAGAAGGAGAAGGAAGTGGAAGGCTGAGCGAGGAGGGAGGCGGGAGCAGTGGTGGAGGAGGAAACGAGAAGGAGGAGGAGGAGGAGGAGGAGGAGGAGAAGGGCAATGAAGGACGAGTTGGACTTTCCCAGGCCGCGTCCGCCGACGCAGCGGAGGACATGTCGCCGGTCTCCAACATGAAGGCCCCTCCCCGCAGGAGGAGGGAGCAGCCCCATCCGCTACAGTAGATTTGGCTCGGGAGCAGCTTTGGGGAGGCCAGGGTTGGCGCAATGAGGTGGCCAGACGTCTGACAAAAGTGTGTACGAGTTTGAAGTCTTTTGCTGCGTCGCTCGGGGCGGCCTTGTGGGGCTAATGCTTGCTCGGGGCGATCCCCATGGAAGTGCCAAAAAGTATTGTATGGCTTGGAGTTCCGATGGCAGGTTTCTGTGCGTCTCGGTGCCAGTTCGGATCCAGGGGGTAGTCAAGTGTTATGTCTGCAGAGATAGGGGTGATGGTCCGTGGGGGCAGCGTGCGAAGAGTTCGGATGCGGGTTCAGAGGCGAAGGTCTGCCTTGCTATGGGTGCGTATTCGTTGATTCAGGGGTAACGGCTTGTTGGCGTTTGTGGTCAGGCTTTTGTAGCCCTTCCTTGTCTTCTCATATGTTCATCCTTCCGCTCTCCCGTTCACATCCTCATCTTCGTCCCCGTCCTCGCCCTCATCCTTCTGCATGCCCACTGTGTGCACACATGCCCCAAGCCCATCCTCATCATCCCCAGGCTGCACGCTGCACCGGCACAGCTCGCTCCCATCCTCGTCCCTCTCCTGTCCCACCCCCCTGCTCGTCCGCTCTCCTGTGCTACATACTCTGCCCCGCCCCCCTTGCGGCTCAATCCACAATTACTCAATATGAATACTACTCTCCTCCTTCCCCTGATGACGTGCTGGGAGTGTTCGCCCCCCCCCCCCCCCCCCCCCGCGTCCTGCTTTTTTGCACACAGGATTCCCGGGAGTTGGGTTTTCGCCTGCATTTTTTCAAAATGCTGCTCTCGCTGAGGCGCCGGCCTCATTTCGGGCCCCGCTCGTTCCGAATCGTGCTCCCGCTGCAGCGTGGGTCTCATTTTCGGATCGGTGTTTTGCCTCCGTCGTTCAGGATGGCGTTCTCGCCCCAGCGCGGGCCTCTTTCTCGCGCGCCCATCCGCCCGCCACCACCGCACCGCGCCCCGCCCCGCCCACCGCCACTTCCACCCACCAACGCACGCACGCACGCACGCACGCGCACCGCCACCACCACCCCACTACCCCATACACCACCACCACGCTACACCGCGTCACACCACATCACACGCGCGCGCACAGACACGCACGCACGCACGCACGCACGCACGCACGCACGCACGCACGCACGCACGCACGCACACACACACACACACATACACACATACACATACACACGCACACACGCACACACACACACACACACACACACACAACACCACCACCACCGCCACCACCACCACCACCGCCATCACGCACGCACGCACCTGGCCCACCACCAAACCACCAAGACGCCACACCACGTCACACCACAGCACACGCGCACACACGCACGCACACACACACACACACACACACACACCACCACCACCACCACCACCACAACCACAACCACCACCACAACCACAACCATAACCACAACCACGCACACACGCACGCACGCACGCGCACCACCACCCACTACGCACGCGCGCGCGGAGCCACAGGTCCGCTACGACACGCGTCCGCGGATAGAGAAAATCAGCGCCATGGTAAGGGATGGGAGGGAGGGGTAGGACGTCAGATATGGCGCGAGCGCACATAGCTTGCCGTCCTCCCCCCTCCCCCCACCTCCCTCCTCCCTCCCTCCTCCCTCCTACCCTCCTCCCTTCTCCCCTCCTCCCTCCTCCTCGCTCCCTCACCGTATCCCTCTCCTCCCTCTCCTCCACCTCCTCCTCCCTCCTCCTCCGCCTCCTCCTCCTCCCTCCTCCTCCTCCAACCTCCGCCTCCTCCTCTCCTCCTCCTCCTCCTCCTCCTCCATCTGGGAAGCCTGAAGTATATCCCTCCCCCCTCCCCCC